AAAAAAGCGGCTCATTTGATTTCGTAATACTGCACGAAAAGAGATAACAGAATACAGAAATATACGCTGCCCGCGAAAAAAATTGCACCATCTGGAAATTCAGGTTGCACAACATATGTTTTCTGGGCTATTCTAAAGAGAAAACGATCTTTCTTAATAAATAAGACCTGTTTTAATGAAATTTTAATCATTCTTCCCTTTCGATATCCCAAACGACATATGTATCGCTGCTTGGCGTTGATAGCGACATAACTCAGAAAATGTAAATTTTCCAGGAACAGCAGTTTAAGATTTGCATTTGACTAACAGTTGAATACTGATCTGGTATATGGAACTAACGAAGTTAGAGGTACACCGTTTTAGATGATAAAAATACTGTATCTATTGAATCTGTCTGTGTAAAAAAATCAAAATTGACATTTTTTTCAGTGTATGCCATTATTAACGTCAACCGGAGATATGTAAATTTCAGATTTCTGTTTCGTTTTTCAGGTGTTGCAATTTTTCCTGACGAATAGTGGAGCTTATTGTTGGAGCGTGGAACGAAATTCTGCAGAGTTACAGGGACATGCATCGAAGTTGAACACGAATCACGATAATAACGGAAATAATTAATCTACTTGTTAGCAATAGCGAATCGGATGTTGTGGTATTAACAAGGGCAAGTAAATCGGATATGGAAATCCTAGAAGAATTTTCTACAAATTGTTCCGAGAAGAAAGTCGATATTCCTTGTATCCGCTGGACACCGTGGACTCCTTTTGAAGTGTTTAAACACTTAATTAACGTCGTTCAAATTACTATTCCGTTTCGTGAAAGTCACAAGAGGGAAGATAACGAAGGAGTTTGGAGATTTTCTATTTTTAATATTTGCTTTTCTTTTCAGGATTTCACGAGGTTCGTTCCTCTTCTAGAAAGGATGAGTGGTCGGCAGATGCTGAGCTTTTGATAAAGTATCTTGTAAGCCTGTAACAATCGGTTGTTTTTCATCTCGTCTTCGAAAAGGGCCGACACGAGGAAATCTTCTCTGAATTTGTATCTATGAGTAACATTTTCACATTCTCTTTCTGATTTTTGTCTAACCCCGAGTATCATATACACGAGTTCCTGCGAAATGAGCATCGTTCGGTTTTAAATTATCTTAGCCTGTACATAATATGATGCTCTTCTCGTTGGTATTACGCTTGATTATTGCTTTTTCGCGAATTCATCGGGTCAATTTTCTGATTATCTCGACTTTTAGACGATACATAGAGAAATGTTTCGAAAGGAATTCTTTTGCCTTTAAAAGTAAAGCGTTGTGACAAGTTCGTTCGTTTGAAGGAATTTTCACGAGAATTTCGCTAGCGTAACAGACTTGCAAGAATAAGAGTGATTGCATTACGATAATAATCACCGATCTACATAGCTTAAGTTCGTTGAGACGATTTGTTTTTTTTTTCTTTTTCGAAACACGCTGAGAAATTTCGACGTTTCTACGAATGAATTTTAGTGGACCGTAGTCTCGACTGGTGCTGTTTCCCAATAATAATATCTGTGATCCTCTAATAATTAGAAAATCACGAACACGAAGTGTAAATATTATTCAACGATATGTTTACATGCAACAATTTCAGACTCGTAATGAAACCGACGTGGAATATATTCCGGTTGTGGTACATTAAAATACCGTTCAGGTACAGGGGTATCAGAGGTGATATTTGATATTTGCTTCAAATTTATTGTTAATTGATCATAGTAGAACAATAATTAGCTGCATTTATAGTTTTAATAATAAAATGTAACTCAGCTGGCGTAAGCAAAAACAAGCAAACACCAGTCTCGACCAGGCAGCCGTTGAAAATCAGGATACATCAAGCAGAGTGATACGAAAATATCGAACATTTCGCTGACAATTATAGTTTTGTCGCGTTCAGGGGGAGCTCTGTGTTGTCGGGTGCAAACTTATTCGTTACGTTCGTCGTTCACGTAGAGATTTTTCTCGACGATAGGAAGGTGGAAGAGAAACTTTCGGATAGTTCCTTTTAAGGGGCAATAGAGCTCGATAAAAACAGCCTTATGTATTCACGATATCTCGTGCAATGCGCGCCAGTATAGTTAACCCTTTGCGGCCCATAATGTTCGAGGATTCGTAATGAAATTTCAATTCGTACAGAAAACTTTATTTCAACTGACGGGGCTCGGTACTCTAAGGTATACAGCGAGATATTTAACGAAGTATCACAAAAGAATGGAAAGTGTAAGGAAGTGTATGAAAGAACAATGATCACAGAAATGTCGAAAGAAAGAAAATCAATCGATAACGAACCAAAGTCGTTGCGGTTCTACTCATGATTGTATTGGACATCAAAGGGTTAAACACCGGGTTAAACTCGATTCGTTTTTCGCAATACTGCATTCACACCCTGTGTATCGGTATAAGCATCGATATGCGTATGGCTATGTGTCGTGTATTAATTCTGACAGTGTCTTCCGAGCGTTTTTGCACGCGATTACTTAAAACTTACTTCTTCACACTTCGCAAGAACGTATTAACTTAATAGTTAATACACCGACGTGACTTCGAGTCGTTTCTCCCTGTTCAAACAAAACAACGCGGACTATCGTTCTCTCTTTTTCTCACGCTGTTATCACGCATACCGTAACACGTACACGCACGCTCTCTCCCATTGTTATGTTAATAAAATCTATTATTTAATAAACAATTTACACGCATAACATAATCGATAGATATCATATATGTATATATATATATATTTTTTTTTTCCTTCTATACAACAATAAGTTCATTAATCGCTAGATAGGATCGTTCGTATTGATACTTTCGTTCTCACACGTTAGTTCCAACACTTTCTCGCCTCCGTGTATATACACCATGGACTATGACAACATTTAAGCAGAAGCATTTTTCCCTTCGTTTTTCGACACTCGAAATATGGGCGCGACGACGCTTTCGTAAACGTCTATCAATCCGTCTTCCGTACGATTCCTCGAGTCCCCCTCGAAACACAGAATGTGTGATCATATACATTATGAACGCTATCGTAACTACATAATAAATCTTTTTCATATACAATGAATATAATACACAACTAACAATATATAGCAACAAAGAAGAAATTTGATTTCACGGTGACTCTGCTGCGTGAAGAATTTTTACCACCTCACAGAGGCTCTTGTTCTTTCATGCTTGTTCTATGTATTTTCCAGAGTTTATAACCGTATTTCAAGGATTCGCGATACATGAAACTTCGTCGTATACGCTTCATGTCACGCTAGCGTCGGAAAAGTGTTGGAAATAAAGTCGAGTGTCGCTTTAACGAAGAGTAATAACGCCATGCTCTACGTATGCCGCCGTTCTGATACGTGTTCAATTCGAAAAATCACCTTCGATGCCTCTACATCTCCTTTCTTTCTCCCTTTCGTGTTTTCTCTTCTTTAGTTATCTTTCTCCGATCGAGACGCGATCAGTCTTGGGCTCATCCAGACGCGTGACAACGTCCAAAAAACGTTATTTAACATTTAACTCCCTTCCACATATACTCGTTGTCTTCCATCTTGGACGTACGTAAATTTCCATCAACGAGATTCGTATCAGTAGCGTCGATTTATGTTCGATCGTGAACAGTGTATAACCATAGGATGTGCCTTCACCGTCGATCGAACTAACGTTCACTGTATTACTCGAAGGAGATCTGATTCTGATTTTGAACGCGATCGATCCATTCGTCGTATCAGCGTTCAATTTTATATATATATATATATACTCTATCGATGGGACGAGGACTGTCACGACGTCTGAATAGTTCGTGACTTTATCGAACAGGAAACCGGCATTTTCGATCACTGTCCGTCTCTACATATTTATCAATCGTTCGTTCCGCGAGGAGCACCGTTCTACGTTCGTCCAAACTGTATTCGATAGTTCTCCCTATCACCAACGAAGGACCTACGAAAGAGGCTCTCACACGTCCGTTATAGTTCTTTAGATTTTGTGCATTCACCTGGGCACGAGGTTGAAAAGTACGTGTGTGACTCAAGTGGACGCGTGGATTCTGAAGGCGGGCAGCAATCTCTACACGTACCACTCTTTAATGTCTATCAGTTCCCGTTTCTTGTTGGTCTTGCTGCCGTTCGCGCCGTTCTTCAACGTTCCGTTGAACGGTTGACCGGAACCAGCGGCTCCCAGCAACGCCGCGTTCGGATCTTGGCAGAATGTCTTCGTTTCGTCGACTTTGTAGCTGGTCTCTGGACGATTCTTGAATTTCAGAATGATCAGGATGATCAGGACAATGGCGATCAATGCTGCGGCTATAATGCCGATTATCAAGGCAGCGTTCTCCGCCGCCTCGGACGTTATCCTTTTGTTGTTGTTGTTCTTCGGCGGCGTCGGCATCGGCGGATACATTGGCGGTGGAGGCGGTGGAGGTGGGTCCGTCATCTCTGTGGTGGTCGTTTGGGTCGTCACAGTGGTCGATCTCTGCGTCACGATGCTACTGCAATGTTTAAAGCGAGAGGGTTGAGAATTTTTTGCGGTAGAATCTTTTTTTTCTCGTTTCGTTGACACGTTCACTGGCCACGTTGGTCACCTGTGACCGAAGATTGTCCCCTGGTGGTCGTCGATGACCGGAGGGCCTCAAATCTTTAGAATAGTTGAAGTAAAATGAATATCGTCGACTGACAATTTCGAACATCGTAGCTAACTACTACATTATTTTGAATTAAAAAAAAAAAAAAATGTTTAGAATAGTGAAAATTTTCTTGAGGTCCCCTGGCGTGGCAGTCAACGTGTTAACATCTAAATACATTTACAACTGGCTCTGTCGAGCCGATCAACAAATTTGATAATGTGGGTATCGTATATTTCGATAGGACGAATTGTAGAGTGTTGTGCAGTAAAATAATTTTAATTATTACTATCAGTGGCGGCTCGTGAGAATTTGCAACGGTGAGGTTGTAGCAATAAAAGTAAAAAAAGATCGGTATGGATTGGAGAAATTGTGTCGTTAATAAAATTAAATAATAACGATTAAAACAGGATCTTTCGTTTTATACTGGAGGAGCTGCGTCCTTTATGGACGAGCCGCTACCGATTGGTACGGGCATTTTTTTTTAAAAGGAACGTTTTATGTCGTTTATAGGCGTTGAATATTGATTCGTATAGTGATTCATGTTGGTGTGTTATTTAAGGTGGAATTTAATTAAGATATTAATTCTCCTGCTTTAATTAAGATATCTATGAAAATAGTGGAGATGGAAAATATTTGAAAAATTGTGAGTAAATTAAGCAACGAGGTAGAAATGTATTTTAAAGCTCTAGCTTTAAAAATATAATAGCGGATGAATTTCATCGAATAGCACGATTTACGGTGAAATTAATCGGAATATTTAAATAGACGATCGAAACGAAGTTGATTGGAATAGTCACATAATCAAACTGCCAATTTCAATCTAGTAATTTAACGACGTTTATTCGATCTATTTCCGACTGTCGGGTAATTCTGCTGATAATTGAACGGAAATACGAAAAAGTGAGTATTTGTGAAAATTTGTATACCTTGTATCGACGAAAACATCTGAAACGCGTAAAGAAATGCCAAAGAATCTTTTCTGTTTATTTTCACTTAATGCCCCACGATTAATACGTGTCAGAAATAGTATCGTTACAGACGTTATGAAATATTTCTTTTCATCGAAATATTAATTTATAGAAAAAGATTACAATTCAAAGATGTAAATAGTTTCGAAAGTTTGTTTACCTGGTATCAATAGAAAAATCCAAAATGTGTACAGAAATGCCAAAGAACTGTTTCTTTTTTTTTTAATTAATGCCATGATTAATAGGTATGAAAAATATTACCATATTATTTTACTTCGAATATCACGGACGTTATAAAGTATTTCTTCTCTACTTTGAATCTTACAATCACTTCTATGGAACTTATAATCACTTAAAAAAGAATCATTTACAGCTAGACTAAAGAAAACCTTCATTCCACAGTTTTCTCTTTTAAAACACCAAACAATCTCCACTAACGATAATGTACCCTTAAGAAAGGAATCGCAAAGAGAAGCTAACAGTTATCTTTTTCTACTCGACAAACTCGTCGCACATTTTTAATCCTCAAACGCTTCTATAGCGCTGTGTTTAAATCTCAGTTTTCCCACGGTACGATGATAAACAATCACACATCCACCTGAACGAATAAAAAGAAAAGAATAACCGAAACTGAACGAATCACCGCGATACAAGTGCATGTGTGAGGTATGGAAAACACAAAGGTCTCGCAGGAAACACAATTGCCGCTAAGAAACGACGCTGAAACCTGCCGCCGGTAAAACACCAGCTTCGGTATGTGTAATTACACATGTTAGCAAGTACACGCGATTAAGTCGGATATTTTGTTGACTGATCGAGTTTGGTAATAGGGTGGCAAATCAAGAATTTCAACGTCGCCGCGGGGTGCTCCTCGAGAAACTGACAAACTCACCTGGCGTGGCTGGTTTCGAGGTCTGTGGTTGACACATTGTACTGGACGGAGACGGTGACGATGTCCCGGGTCGATGTCGACGGTGAGCCTGGAGACGTTTGCGTGCTGATGTGACTGGTCGTGTACTCGCGGGCAGTTGTATACGTCACTGAGCTTGAGTCTGCTTTGGACAATAGAAAAGAGAGAGAAGCGTCAGCCGGCTGTTGCAATTACGCGTATCTGATTGGTTCCACTGAAGGATGGGGTAGTAACGTGCTACCGACAATATATACGCGTGCGTAGGCCGGCGATATTCACGCGTGCGTGGCTAGCAGCCACGTTGCGAGTACCGACGGCGGAAGCAGTCGTGTTTCGCGGCTTCCAGGGACAACCGTTCAATCATCAACACGCACACTATGCCCTCTTGGTTAATTGGCTGGAGGTGTTCGAGAACCCGAAAATGTCGGGTCGAGAACTTTTCTCGGGATCGGGTCGGGTTCTTCCAAGTATCTCGAGATTCGAGAATACCGGGATTCCCGAGAATATCGGGACTTCCGAGAATTTTGAGAACTTGAAAGTGTCGAGTCGGGTCGAGAATTTTTCTCGGAATTGGGTCGGGTTCCTGAAAGTATCTCGAGATTCGAGAATACCGGGATTCCCGAGAATTTCGAAATATAAGAATATCGGGATTTCCGAGAATTTCGAGATATCAGAACATCAGAATTCCCGAGAATATTGAGAACTTAAAAGTGTGGGGTCGGATCGAGAACTTTTCTCGCGATTGGGTCGGGTTCCTGAAAGTATCTCGAGATACGAGAATATTGGGATTCCCGAGAATATCGAGAACCCAAATCACGTTTCGGTACTAGCTTTGGACGCGTATTATGCTCGTATTCAGTAAAGCTAGTCCCGGAACGTCGTTCGGGTTCTCCAAATTCTAGGGAATCCCGAATTCTCGAGTCGCGAGACACATTCGGAACCCGACTCGATCCCGAGAAAAATTCTCGATCCGACACGACCCGAAATTTTCGAATTCTCGCACACCTCTATTAATTGATATCATTTTCCAGTTTGGAGTATCGTAACGATAACACTAAGGGGATGCGTGTTAAGATTCACGAAGTGTCTGGTTCATTGTTGACGAGACGGTAATCGTCGATCGCTGGTTAGTTTTTTTTTTTTTGGATACAATATATAGATTGTAAAAGAAGTTAAGTGGAGAAATATGTAGTACGTTGGTTCGGAAGTCTATGAAGGATTGAAGCGGATCCGGTAATAATTGATGATGGAGCAATGGGGGTATTGAGCAAAATCGAACAATTGATTTGTGCTAGAGAATTCGCAAGGTCTTTGTGCAAGTAGAAAGTTAGATGATGTGCACGAAATTCATCAAGTTTGTCGTAAGATTTATAATACCTCTAAGATTTCATTAATACCTTTAGAGTTGTGACAGAAATATCTTTGTGTAAATAAAATTCTAAGTAATATTTTAAATTAATACCTATAATAATACCTAATATAATATCTATTAATACTCGATAGAAAAATCTAAAAGAATAATAATTCGCGATAGTTACAAATATATAGAAATTTTTCAAATGCTCTTCGAGAGTATTAAAACGGAACTGAAAGACCGGGGTGCAAAATTTCGATGTGAATTATTGTTAAAGAAATCGTTTCCACTAATCGTAAATCGGTGCACACACGAAATGTAACATGCGAAGCACAACCCTGCACTTCTCGACGTTCGCCATCGATTCACGGTTGAACTAGTTACGATATGTCTACCGACAAAGTTCATTAACCGCCGCCGAGTATTCGCTGAACAAAGCGTCTGGTGCCTTTTCAAGTAATTCCTTGAAACGAACATTTATAAAAAGAATTGGCGTGAACATCGAATTTACAGCTATCTTTAAAAAGACTATCGATCGAAAAACTATTACTCCATCGCGTTACTTCATATTACCATATTTTTTATACGTTACATTAATACAAGAAGGATCATCCGGGTCAAAATGGACCCACTAGCAACATTCCAAAAGTGAATTTTCATGTAACTTAAAACGTAATTAGAAAAATCTGTCTCATGTGAATGCGAACAGAAGCGAGTGTACAGAAAAGAAAGTCAGAAAATTGCAAACGATAACACTTATCAGTATCGAAAATTCACCTATTTTCTGGAAAGTTGCTAATGGGTCCATTTTGGTGTTAAAGTAGTTTCCTACTTTTTCAAAATTCGTCCAAGAGGAATATATACTCGAAAAAGAATGTCGTCGAAGAAGAAAAGAAAAAGAAAAAGTGAATTTCCTACTGGTCTTTAGCTAATCGTATTCCTTTTTGTTTCACGTGAAATTGCTTTAACTGCGGTGGACAGGTACTCATTCTGCGATGAAGAGCAGCTCACTAAAAAGAAGTCGTATCGACGTCGCGTCGCGTCGAACAGAAAAATGCTATTTTTGTAATGATCAACCTAATCGACGGCAGTTGAGATCGGTGGAGCTTTCACCGCATCAAATTGAGGGATATGCAAACGTAGAGGATTCTCGATGGCTACGGATTTTCATAACGAGTTTTCACGAGTTTTTTTTGTACTCTTCTCTCATTTTTCTCCATCCTGTTCGCGTATATTGATAAATCGAGGTGAGGCAATCTGAAGAAGCAAGATGATCTGACCTGTGACAAGTGTTATTTTGCCGCGAAGCAAGAATTTTGGCCGAGAGTTGTTTCGAATTTTCAAATTTTGAAGTGGACAATTTTTTTGTAAATTTTGAGAAGGATTTTTTTCTTTTATTTGCGAAGTAGGACGTTGAAAAATTATTTGAATTTCACTTTTTAGTCAGTTATGAATTTTCTAGATGTTGGTATTTTGTTGAAATATTGAACCAAATTTGTTAGTTTCTTCTATCTAGTCAAATAAGTTTTAGTGTGCATATACGAAAAGTTTATACCACTCTTTTGTAATTAATAGACTACTGCAACTTATTTTTGTGTAAAAAGAATCTAAGAAGATTACTCGTAACGTTGCAAATATTATTCGAATTTTTCATAAATTAGTGTTCAAAAAAATAAAGTAAAAAAATATTCTGTGAATTATCTTGGGGACGATATAACAATAACGATAATAATAGAGCATTACGACATAGCTGGCAAACCAAATACAGTAAATTCTCTACAAGAGTCAGTAAGTTTGGATTCTACAAGTGACAGTATAGATGGTCATACGACTAGGTTGCGTCATTGCTGCGCCCATGTATCTCGCTCGCAGTCAGTCAAGCGTGTAACGCTACACCAGTCGGTTTCCTTTACGAGATTTCACGGCTCGACAAATCATAATAGAAAAATATAATTTCTTTAATTTTACTTTTTCTCATCTGGAATTTTTTTTAACATGTGGTGAGATTTTA